GAGAGAGAGAGAGAGGTTACCCGGGCTTCATCTTCAGATGAGGTTGTAGGGTAGCCAGCAAGCCTATCTTTGAAATAGCCAGCGAGCTGGTCAAGAACTGCTCTTTCCATGCAGGGACTCACCTGTGAACATTGTCATATCATATGACATAAACCATCCACCACAGGCAACCATACATTACCTCATTCTCCCAATATACTAGCAAGAAGAAAACATAAGAGCACATAAAAATGATTCCTTTTATGGGGGATTAAAGGATATTTGATACTAAACTTCCCAAAAACGATCAGGTATTACTTTTCACTTAATTTATTTTCAACAGTTGTCAATCTGAGGTAATCATTACTAACGAAATTAACAAGTGTTTCCTCCAATGCAGTGTATTGCTCACAATTCTGTAAAGCTTGAAATGAAACCATTTACATTTACTATTTTCTTTTCAATAATTTCTGTTCTTCTAAAAGTAATTATAAGGATTTGTTTTAAGTTGTTTATTGCATTCTTAGGAATCCCCTTTTATAGTCCCCTTTTTCTTTCGTCCAAGTTGGATATAAATATTAATATTTTTTTTCCTTTTGACAAGGGAAATATATATTAATTTTTAAAGATGAATTTTCAAGATACAAGTTAACCTTTCTTACGCAATGAACTTCTGAAGTTCTTTCTAATTTTTGAGCATTTATTAACTCCAAATCAAAGTTTTAGTCCCAGATTCCAGTGGAGAATGCAATCCATAAAATTAACAGGTTCTAAAGCTTAATAGGGAAATTATAGCAATACTACATGGAGTACGATAATAGTCAGTAACACTGTTTGTATTCCATGACAGATGGTAGAGATGAACCATTTTCCGGCTTGAGCAGGCAATGGAGGTCTTCAGTGCAGGAACAATTTATCTTAACTGTCTGTCACTTACAATTGATGGTGAGAATACATGTGTAATATTAGTACGCAACATGCAGTAAGCATGGTGTACAATCTCAACATAATATAGTCTTGCATCCAAAAATGGTTAGTTACCTATCCTTACAAATCCTAACTACTAAGCATTTTGGTTTTCTTCTTGCACATGTCTCTATTCATAGGCAGATGGCAATTTTCTTAGGGGCGGGGGTACTTATCTTTGCCTTTCACGTTCTACTGCACACAAGGAACTAATGTCTTATAAAGCAATGAAATCACTATTCGATTCACTAATTGCCCATAGCCATTGGGGAAAATGATGGGACAAAACCCAAACTCAATGGTATTGAGACCATACAGGGCCAGAACCAATAAGCCACCTGTAGAGTAAGACTTAAAAAGGACGTGAATAAAAGTTACTGAATCTTCTCTATGGATATCGATGTTATCATGCAAACCAAGGGTTCTTGAACAAGAGTAAACATACAGCAGTACACTGTTCCATCATATGCAATAAAAGAAACAAAGTAGTATGCACATTGTTGAGATCTTGGTAGGCGATCCCTTCTAGGATCTCGATTCTGTCGCTCCTAGAACAGATTTCTCAGGGATCTCGATTTTTAAATTTTGAGATCATGGACCTCGCTAATAGGGGTCCCAATTCCTGCTGTCAGGGATCTCAATCCCAATCTTAAAGACCAATGGAACAACCAAGTTGATGATTTTTTTGTTTATAGTCAGCTAGCAACACAACTATTACTTGCTTGCTATCAATAATAAAATCCCTAATTTAAAGAGTATACATAATCCTTGATTATCATACACTTTGTTGGTAACAAGATCCCCAAAAAGTTGGGATCAAGAACCCCAAAAAGTTGGAATCTCAATCCCTAATATATGCATTGTATGGATGGCATTCCCAACTATAGGGATCTTCTAGCGTTTCACGATCCCTCACTCCCAATCCCGATCTTGATCCTGGTACTGTTCCCGATCCCGGTACCGCTCCCACTCCCGATCCCAACAACAATGGTTTAGATGTTATTACAATTACAAAGGCTTGCATACAGAGGCCTACCAAATAATACATAAGATAATAATCGCTTAAATAGAGGCAGATATATAGTAAGCCACCCTGTCCAGACTCTTAGCCATTAATCCTTAATAACAAATAATTATTTTCAAGGAATGAAAGAAGATATAAGAATGAGTGAGGCAAAGAAAACTAACAAAGGAAAAAGAGTACATTATGTAATCTAATTCTCAAAAGAATGTATAGAATATAATCCACTGGACTTTGGAAAACATGCAGGCAATTGGGTCATCACTGTCCATATAAACGATGAAATGCAATGGATTCCACTTTCTCACTATACCTTCCATAATTGAATGCTAGGACCTGATAGATCTACTTCCCAAAAGTGAATGCGGGAAACAATTATCTCAAAAGAATTCAAATAGTTATCGCATAATAAAGATGTTAAATCAATACACGAACTTACAGGACAAATAGGGCCTTGGGAGGAAATAACTGAATGCATCTCTGAAGGATCTGAAACATAGCCTAATCGCATGTATGGCAGCATATCCGTGACAGCTTCCCTTTCTCTTCCAGCATACACCTGAATCAGTCTAGGCCATTTAATTGCGATCTAGCCCTAAATTGTAAATTCGAGATGGGAAAGTATACTAATAGGTATCTGTAGTAGTACACCATACACACCTGAGTATGGTCTACCATACACAGGTTCAGTATACTTTGCCACACAAAATTTACCGGAAGGATATACTTTTCTCCAGAAGATTATGTTCCCATACATGAAAGGCTTGCACAGTTAATTTCCCATTTCGTTGTGCAATCATTCGTTTGTCCTGATATTGAGGATCATCTGTATTGAGAGAGGCCTGGATCAAAGGGTTCATAAGGAACACGTTGGTACAAAAGAAAATTTGGGGAATATAAATCTACAGACAAAAATGAGGAAACCCATAATTTACCTTGATAAATAGGCGATCATAAGGATTATCTTCATCCACAAAACCATAATTCAAAAGTAACCTCGAATTTGGTTGTGGTCCACACCTACAGATATCTGCCAATCTTTAAAAGACATCCTAAAGCATACTAATCAATGCGTCTCGCAAGGGGAAGTTCAAACTTATATGCTAATAGACTATGGAAAACTTTAGTCTGGGATCATCACTGGCTGATAAAATGGACAGTGATGACTGCATGATAAAAAGACAGACGATGATGGACAGTGGGACCCACCCACAATTGGGTCATGTCCTGTTCTGGTGGGTACTCTCAGTCCAACACCAATTCACCGCAATACCATTTCAAGAGCGATGAACCCAATAGACTATGGTTTTCCATGGTCCAGATTGTAGTATAGCATCCCATCGAGCGATAGAACTGGAGTATGTGACAATCACAATCGTAAGCGAATAAATGTTTTTTTTTTTTCTTTTGAAATGTTGATGTTGAGCTAACAAATGACATTCAAAGAAGAACTATCTCCAAATGGTAATACCAGACAACAATTGCTTCTCCAGCCTTGTATGCACGGTCAACTACCAGCTGAACAGCATTTTCTACAGCTGTCAACATTGCCTTGCAATTGCTTTTATATGCAAGAAGAGGAGGCCCCAAAGGAACTAAAGCAAACCTACGAGCCAAACTGACATTCTGGTTGCACCAAAGAAGCAAAAAGCATTAGTGTGGTCGCTAAACATCTTAAAACATGACACAAATGGAATACTTTTATACAAGTAGGTAGTCCACCCCCAAACTCCGATGAACTATAGGGATCCAAAATATCGTGTCAAGTGGCATGCCCAACTATCTTGTTACAGTCTACAATCATAAAAGGCAGACACTGCACAATTACTAGGTAGAAGAGCATATTGTAAGCCCCAATATCTTTTTGCCAGCCACACCAACTACTACATCCAGCAATGACAGCGTGTCATAAGAAGCAGCATCAACTCTTCAGAGAGCTACTCATTAGAAAAATAACAGTCAGAAAAAAAAATCATTATTTTTCTAAGAAGCCATCTGAAAAAGACTAATGTGGGGATTTTACTAGACTTGATTGGTTAAGGTGTTCAAGATTGCAAGCTCAAATTTGAAGTTCCAACCCTATCCCTCTTAACAATGGTTATACTGATTATATTTTGATTTATTAATGAATGTCTTAACCTGCTTTTTTCAAGTTCCTCAACCTTCAGGTCAAGTTAACTTCTGAACAGGTTACAAGAATACCAAGTAACTCATTCATGGATTCGATATCTCCTAAAATGCAATAGTGCAGAGGAGTGCTAAGTAGCACCTAGCTATTGAAAACCTCAAGTCTGTAGCAAGGTTTCAAAATCGGCCCCTAGGCGGCTGGCTTGGTGCCCAGAGCCTTGGGCACCTTGTAGTACAAATTCTTAAGATATTTTAAATCGAGCTACTAATCAACTCAAAAGTCTCCTAATACCACCAATAGCACCCTAAAAATAATTTCAATGGAAAAAGAAAACTTTTTCAATCCACAAAAAATACTTTTGATTCTCAAAAATTACTTTAGATTCTCAAAAATTACTTTAGATTCTAAAAATACATTCAACATAGAGATTGAGGGTTTTTTTTTTTCACTTTGGAGGTTAAAAATAACCCCCATAATGAATTTATACAATCTTGGAGGTCAAAATGACCCCCTTTGCCCTTTTGGGCGAGTTTAAGAAAACGTAAAAAGGGCCCACGGCCCTGGGCACCCACCCAAAACTGGGCACTAGGCGCCCACCTGGGCGCTCGCCCAAGTACATCCGCCCATGTTGGGCCGCCTGGGGCTGGGTGTGCGGTGTTTTGGTCCAGAATGCCTAGGCAAGAGCCTAGGCACCGAGCAGACCTTTTTTTGAAACATTGGTTTGTAGCAGCCCGTATTTCGATAGCGACCTGTCACCAGTAATACAATAGCGTGCAAGTGAAAAATACCATTCCTTGATTTTTATAAATATCCAATTCAATAAAATGCCGTGATTTCCTTTAGAACATATTTCAGTTTGGCTGAGTAAGAGAATGCTTTGGCTCCCTAGGGCTTCAAATGAAGACTTCAGATTTGTACTGTATAGAATGATACAAGACACATGAAAATCAAAAAAATAAAAAAATTATAAAGAAGAAAATTCTAAGATAATACATTTTTAAGATATTGTGATCACCATCATTGCACATCAATCACACAATTGTTCAGATTTATTTACCAAAAGTAAGAAATAAAAATTAAAAGATGTTCACACATTAATGTAGCAATTCACAAAATTCCAATCAAATTGTAAATTATAAAAGAAAAACATAACCACTCATTTAGCCAAATTCAAAAAGGCTAAGTCTCACTAAGTCAGTCTTTATAATTTTTAATTGTTGTCACGATCATCATGAACCTCGTCATCATAACATTAAAGCATTTTTGAATATAGGGCCACAAGAATGCCAGAACTAGGATATCCATACGTTATTTTGTATATCACGCCAAAAGGATTACCTGCAAATGTACAACACAGGACTGGACTGCAACAAAAGCTTGTTTGAATATTTCAAAGGGGAAAGCCTCAGTTGGTATATCATATGGGTATTGCTGCAACATGTAAAAGCACAAAGCAATAAACAACATGATGCTAGATTTTTCTTTTCAAAATCATACAAAAATAATGTCATTCAATAACATACATGGAACAATAAAAGCCATTTGTTAACCAGAATAAAATCCTTGAGCTATTAAGATGCAGTTGAAACCTGAAATAATGAACCAGCCATAAACCAAACTGTGTCAAGTTCATCATATTCTCTCTTGATACCCTCCGCTCTTTCTAGAACTTCAGCCTGAGCCATTACAGGAGAATAATCGCATCAGAAACTTTAGATCTATCAAGCATCTATTTAGCATCTATAAGCCACTGAAGCTGCACTAGGGATAAGCAAACCACAATAAACTGGTATTTCTTTGCCATTCATGCAAGATACATAGAAGCATCTATGCAATGTAGCATCCAGACAAGTAATTCAAATCCAAAGTGAGTAATATAACATGGTGACCTAGTTATCAAGAAAAAGAGTAGCACATAATACCCTAGTTGGGCTGCCAGTTAGATATGCTAGTTCACTTTCAGACCACAAAAGAGGGGATTCAACAGCCAGCTGCCCTCTTCCTCGTTGACGATCAAGCTCCCTGATGAATGGATACCAAAAAGACTTCTTCCCTTGCTTCTTCTCATACATGAGATATAGTGCCAAACAGGCCAATTCTGAGAGCTTGTTAGTTGTCAACAATTCCGCTGCATAGAAATCAACAATTTATCGCCGTTAACAAGTTTCTTTCAATACATTAACAAATTACTAGTTATTTATTTAGGGGAAAACTTTAGATCCTCCTGTTGGAAGACTGTAATAGTATCATCCTGTCTTATTATGTGGCAATTCTGACCGGAACTTGTGGAGGTCTCCAGCAAGCCAGCCAAGTGATTGATGAAAACACCTTTGCGACAACCTATGTAAAAATCCGGTGGGCTCCCATGCCTCTGCCCTGAACTTCATGATTTTGGGGGCAGAACTCAGCATGAGCGCACGCATTGCATGAGTGAATGTGTGGGGAGGCAGGCCAGACAAGTCACATAAAATGTCCAAGAGAGCCATTCAAACACTTTCTTAGCAAAAATCTCACATTGGATCCTAGGTTGGAGTACCCGAAAGCCCACAGGTTTATCAACGAAGTCTGCCGGGTGTTGGGGTTCGTGGTCGCTTATTTGGCCAGTGATACACGTGCCACGTGCATCGTGCCACGCACCAACGTGCCACGTGCCAACACACCAGACACACATGTCATTAGAGTCACAGGAAATCCTTGTCAACATGCATGTTTGGAAATTTTCATTTGGATGTGAGACATGGCATGTCTCCCATGTAGATATACATGTGACATAATCTTAAGGCATGTGTCTATTTTGTAAGACACGCATTGGTAAAACACATGTCTTTGATTTTGACCCACACGTTTTTTTTTTAAGTTAATTTTATTATCAAGAAGTCAGAAATTGATTTTATAAACAAATATGTATAAAGAGGTATGCGTCGTATAGACTTGTAAAGATGTGTCGTTCTAGACTTGGCAAAATATAGGCAGGTGAGTTGGACTCTTCAAATCCAAATCAGACAAGGCTTCTTGTATCATGTCCTTGTCACCTAGACCACAACATTTAACAGAAAAAACCTTGATGGAAACCACCATTGCCGCACCTTCATTTTGGGAACGCCCTGGTCATTTTAATATTTGTTTCTAGGTTTTACTCGTCAATATCCAACGATCTAATGAACAGAGTGTGGAGATGGAATAGGAGGACACTATTACAATCCTCCTACAGGAGGACCAAATGTTTTGCAATTTCATTTCCTGAACTCCATGTAAAAGCAGTCAATTTCCATGGTAGTTTGTAAACTCAAATGCTAGTTAGAGAAAGAATTCAGGAAAAAACAGGTTCAAGAAAATTATGTCATGAGAAACCTCAATCAAAACCTTTTTGTATTCCAATAGCTTCTAACTCAAAGTACAAAAGGAAATTTATGTCATGATGAAGAAAATCGAGTTAATTAAAAGGGAAATGAGTAATTTTACCAGTTAAAATGAATGGGGACAACAAAAGCATCATTAACTACGTAATACAACTATGAAATCATAGTCAAACAAAATCTCTCAGAGAGGGAGAGAGAATTGTAAAACTTAATGAAAAGTAAAATATGCCTCACCAATATGTTCATTTCCCAGAACTCTTTCAAGTGTCACAATGAGAGAGTTTGGAATTGAGAATGCTACATCCCCTGCCTGCCAAAATTCCCAAACAAAACAGCAATGAGCAAGGCACTTTGCACCAAAGAAAATTTGAAAAGCCAAAGAGATGCACTGCACATTGTTTGGTAGAAAAAAACCAGCAAAAATAAAAGATACTAAAATAAAGATTCCTATAGAGAAGAACAGTTCCCAACAAAATTAATGATACCATAGAACAAAAAATATATACTAAAACCCAAAAAATAGAGCAACTAAAGGTCCATACAGAGAAGAACAATTCTTAAAAATTAATGATCTCGTAAAACGACAAATATATAAAAAACCCAACGAAAAACTAGAAAAAAAGAACAACAATGACCCAAATGAAGGACACCAGTTCCTAATGAATCAATATTACCGAACTAAGAAAATGAAACAACAAATATAAACACCACCGCATGCCCACAAAGACATATACAAACAACAACAACAACCCACATAACGAATACCAATCCCCAGTGAAATTAACAAAGACAATGAAACCACAAAAGCATATAAACTACAGCCACAAAGAAAATCTAAAAAGAATAACAACAATGACCCACACAAAGAGCACCAATTGGAACCCATTGGAAAAAAAAAAAGAGCACCAACGCCGAATAAAATTTAGAAAGACCCAAAAAGAAATACAGAAAGAAGAACAACAATGAACGACATATAGAACAATAATTCTCACAAAATTAACAAATAAAATTGATAAACAACACCCACTACGAAAATCTAGAAAGAACAGCAATGACCCACATAGAGAACACATCTTCGTAATAAAATCAACAAAATAATGAAAAAAAAAACCTATGAACAAAACCCGTGTAGAAATTGCATAGAGAAGAATAACAATAAAAAAACAAGAAGCAAAACCCTGAGTCCCTGATATAAATCCAGCGAGGAAAACTAGATTACAAACAAATAAACAAAAGACCACATTGAAAATCGGGAGACAATAATACGAACAATAAACAAAACCCACATAGAAAATCTAGGGAGAAGAACAAAAATGACATCAACTACCTGAAGATCCTCACTAGCTGCAACATAGTGAATAGGCCTATGCTTCTCATCATGAGAAGGCTTCTCTCTCAACAAAACTTTACAAGGAGGAAGCCCCTGACTGTGCATCCATGACTTGAGATCGATTTCACCTTCTTTGGATCCCAGAACACGAGAATTCCCCCCTCCAGTCCTGGAAGAAGTCGTCAATGTATCAGCACTCGAAGTTGAACAAACACAGGCCCTTCTCACCGTTTTAGGAGAGAGAAACAGGCTCCCACCATGGCCAGAAGCCACCATCGACCTAGAAGAAGAAGACCCATTTGAAGAGAAGAGAGAGAAAGCATGGTGAGGGAGGAAATCCAATGGGGCAGTGCAAATTCCCATTTGGGTTTTGGTTCTCTCACTCTCGAGATTGGAAATGTAGAGAGTGAAAGGCAAGTGGAAGAAGCATGGAGTCTGTGGGAGAAGGCGAGTAGGAGTGAATTTAGAGAGAGAGAAAAGAAGGGATAAGAGTGGCGAGATCCATGGTTGTATGCTACGCAAGAGTTGATTTCAGTGCTTGTAGATTGTACAAGATAGATATTTGTTTGCATTTCATTTCGTGCCTTGCCAAACTCTCTCTCTCTCATGCCCAAAATCCAAGGGTTTCTCTCTCTAGACCACCATTCCCTCTCACCGTCTCACTCTTGTCAAAATCCATCTCACCTTCACGTTAACATTAATCGTAACCATATTGTAAAAGATAAATAATTTTTTTATGTACTTTTTCTTGTACAAAAGAGGAAAAAATACTTTTCCATGAAAGAATGAGAGAATAAATAATCGGCCTCTTTGAACTAAAAATAAATGATTTCATTTCGAACGAGAGGGAGTAACTAATTGTGATATTTTCGTAGTCTCATTATATATAATCCGTTATGTTCAAACTCTTCTATTGTACAAATATGGGACAGGGTACCAAGTGCATTTTTTGTTTGTCATGATTGTTACCTTGAGATGTATTCATATTTCTATAAGTATTTTGCAAAAATAATTGTAAACCATAAGGAATACTATCTGGCTCAGGTAGTGGTGGTAATATACGACCCCCCTGCAAAAATTTACGGGTAAGAAAGTCAGGTAATGAATTAGCAGAGCCGGGAAGATGTTCAATAGAAAAATAAAAAACGGATAATATCGCTTGCCAAAGTGCAAATATTTGTTTTGAAACAAGATTTTGAACATCCTTTTGCAGAATGTCCTTAGCAGCTTTACAATCAGTACGTATCAAGAAATGTTGATTCAAAATATCACTTTGGAACTTAGTAACACAATGTATAATGGCAAGTAATTCTTTTTTGATAGTGGAATAATTCTTTTGTATAGGATTCCATGTTTTAGAAGTAACGCGGATTAATTGCTCAGTAGAATCACACTTTTGTTTTAGTATGCCGCCGAGACCTAAGTCAGAGGCATCGCATTCAATGATTTTAAATGCAGTAGGATTGGGAAGTGTTAAACAAGGTAATTCTTTAGCTTTTTGCTTAAGTCGTTGGACAGCCAAAGTATGGATCTCAGTCCATGGTGGAGGATTCTTTTTTTACGGCCCCTCTTGCAAAAA